GTAATGAAAATCGGTATAGCTAGTTTTAATCGATAAGTTTATTGTTGGCTAATTTTTGATGCGGTAATCGTTGGACTATTCTGAACTATTGTTGAGTGCGAATGAAGTATTTTGAGCGTAATTACATCGGTCATCGTTCTCGTCGAACCCTTCGCTTGCGACGAAGAGTCCGGCGAGTAAATTAACCCACAGACACAGCTGAGTTTCTCGCCGGATCTTTTCAGTGGGTTGCGTTTCCGACCCGGTGGTAGATTCTGCGAAGCCCTGCTCTTACTAGGATCAGTGTTAGCAACGTGGTCAGGTTTGAGCCCCGAGAGTTTTTTATTTGAGTGGCTATATTATTGCATGATTATTAAATTATTGAATGTGTATATTTTTTAGGAACATTTGTACGTTTAAGTTATATTTTCTTTATTCATAAGAAGTGTTTCTAATTATACGACTGTATATCTTGCCTACTTTCCTCGCGCGATACATCGATGATTGATGGGCATTAAGACGCCACAGTGAAGGGGAACAAACATATTTTTAAAACTTAAGCTTCTGAAAGTAATTATAAAATTAAATTAAACTTAATTAAAATTTAAATTAGTTAGCAACTTTTGTGGCTGAGAATGGAATATCTTTTAGGGTCATGGATCATCTTGTTAAATGAATGCTGAAGACATTCCCAGATTCTGAGATTGCAAAGAAAATCAAAATGAAATGTTCATAAATCCGCGTCGTAGGTTCTTCAATAGGATGCTTCAGTCAATTTAAGATAATTAAAATTAGCTTGTGAATGTTTTAGGGTATTGGGTCAGACGCTATGATGAGGTGTCACAATTTAGTATCCAGTCTATTTTGATTGAATGCCCCAAAATAATAGTTTTGAAATGTGCTCGCCACTCGCTACATTTTTACGAAATATAGAAACAATTGTCGGTAGACATGCAATTATTTAAACGCAATAGGGTATTTTTATTTAGTGAAAAAATGCTGTATTTTAAAGATAAATTATTACGGTTTTTTGTTTGTTAAAAACAATAAATATACAAATCTGATTTATCAACACTAGTATCAAAGTCCCTATTCTCAAATATTAAGTGTGTAATCTATGGTCCCTATTTAATTAATCATTATCAGGACTTTTTGGCGGGAACGCGAGGAGTGAAGTTGTGTGATTTGTTTTATTTTGTCTATTTAGTGTTTCTTCAGGTTTAAATGTGTAATAACGGTGGTTTATTAACTGTTTAATATCTGTGAAAGTGCACAAATGTGGGTAAATGAAACAAAGCCGCTGGACGTCACTTCTCGGGATCCTCCAAAAAGTCCAATGAAAAAGTCTCAGTAGATGACCACCATTTTACTGAGATTATATTTCATCTCATTTCATTTTATTTCATTCCAGTTGATTAATGTCTCAAATTAATCATCTTTTCATTTCACTGCATATCATAATTTTTCATTAAAATAAGAATATAAATAAAGTAAAATAAAATATTACCTAAAAGTCTTAGTTACCAGGTCATAAAATCCCTTAAAAATCATCACTATCAGTTCTAAAAAAAAAAATTTTTTTAAGTGATTTTATGACTTCGTAACTGATACCTTTAAGTCATGTCTTACTTTAATTTATATTCATGTTTTTATGAAAAATGATATTATGGAGTGAAATGAAATGAAGACGATTAATTTGAGACATTAATCAACTGGGATGAAATTAAATGAAATGAAATGAGATGATATGGGATGAAATATAATCTCAGTAAAATGGTGGTCATTTACTAAGATTTTTTCAGTGGAATTTTTGGAGGATCCCGAGAAGTTACGTCCAGCGGCTTTGTTTCATTTTTCCACATTTGTGCACTTTCACAGATATTGAACAGTTAATAAACCACCATTATTACACATTTAAACCCGAAGAAACACTAAATAGACAAAATAAAACAAATCACACAACTTGACTCCTCGCGTTCCCGCCAAAAAGTCCTATCAAAATTCTCAAATACATTGTACCATAGATTATACACTTAATTTATTTGAGAGTTATCACTGAATTACGATTAATAATAACGCAGGTTTAAGTATTAAGTTAATTTCATTTAACAAAAAACTGATTCACGAATATCAATCAGGTAAAATTCCTGGTTAATGGTGTGGTAAACAGCGGTAGTCGCCGGTGCTCTTACAAGCGACGGACCACAATGGTTATCTTCAGGCGATACAACAACACAGCATATGTACACAGTGCATGTTTTACACTAGCATTGCACTGCGTTCGGGTTAGTTGGAACCCCATAAAATATAGACACTGGTCAATTTCAGATCAATCTTGACTATGACCAAATAAAGCTAATGAAAGTAACTCTCAGAAAAAAATAGTGCTTGCGAAACACAAAATTAGAGCATATCATTAAAATATATTTGAAATTTGAAAATCCACGAGTATCTGGAAATCCCTACCATATTGCATGAAGTTAAACAATACTCCGCCAAGTATAAGAACTCTTGACAGCACACCCAAACCCGTTGTCCGGTATGCTCTTGCATCCAAATCTGGTTAGAAGACTCAAGAGAGTTACTCTAATAAGGTGAGATGGAGCATTGGCTTTGCCCCTCCAAATCATAACCTCTCGTAACTCACCTGATTATAGTCGTGTCGACTATTGCAGGTGTTAAAGTAGAACATATACATACACAATATCGTCTTTACCATAAGGGCACACGGGGCCCGTGCCCAGGGTCTCCATTCTTATAGGGCCCCGAAAGACCGACAATTTCTCTCACACGTTTATTCTCAAAACATTTTTGTCGAGCGCATTACACTTTTTTCACAAATCAGTAGTTAGAAGGTATTTAGAAGGCATATACTATGCCTCTAATAGAAGATTTTGAAGAAACCGTTATCGAAATCGTAACCAAAATACCAGCAGCATTCTAATATCATTTATGACATTATATCATACTGTATCTGATAAATGGTCATATTCAGTAAAAAAATGTTATTATAATTCCCTTTTTTTACTTTCCAAAAGGGCCTCAAATTCTTGAGTGCCCAAGGGCCCCATCCTAGCTTAAGACGTCCCTGTACATACACACATATATATATATATATATAAAATAACCACATTTCTAGGCAGCAACATAGGCACACTACAGAATTCTAGAATTGTACTTGTGATAGGGTTTCTTATGAGCACAGATTTTTTTACACCCAGAATACTGTTAGTTTTAGAAGTGTATGTCTATTCATTAAATTTAATAACTTGAGCTCAGTGTTATTAATTTTCTGTATGCCTCAACATCTGGCTGATTGTTATGTTCATTGGTTGTCATGAAAATTAATTAGAATTTACATAGGAACACTACAAATGGGTATTACTTGAATGCATACAAAATGCACTTTGGTTTAATACACAAATAATGATAATACTAAATTAAGTTTTGGTTTTAATATCCAAGGGCGATTAAATATTCAATTTAATATCCAAGGCTATTTGGCTTTAGCGACATTTTGCAACTTTGCAGGAGAGCCATATATAGTTAAAATTTTGGAAAAAAATTCATAACAAAAAGACTTCTTCAGCTATTCGCATGGAGTAAACTTAATTGAAGTTCAATTACAAATATCGAATTGTTGATACTAATACTAAATAAAACGCACCTTTAATTACAAAGAAAAAGTCATGCATTCTGCGATATGTCCCTTAAACCAAATAGTCTTTCAATGCTCCATATAAAGATAAAAATAAAGAAGCCTTTATTAACCACCTTAATTCATATTTAGGTACATACTATTAATGTAATGTTTCTAAACATTTGACATCAGCAAATATTGTTTTGCTTTTGCATAGAAAGTAGTCATGTTGTAGTCTGCTCGATATGTGTTTGCATAAATCAGAAAATGTTAATTGAATGAGACTGTAATGGAAGAGTTTGATCAATTTACAGGATTTTCTCTTGGTTGATAAGTGGTTACCACAACATGAATTACAGTCTGAATGCTGTCAATGAGAAAGTGGAAAATGCTTAGCAAACATTTTATTTTATAACTCCATTCCATCCATCTTCTATTCTATCTATTTTATTTATTATAATACTCCACATTCTATTATGATTCATAACGGTATGGAGAAACAAGTATACAGTTACGATTGGTTGATAATGCTATAGATAATTGTAAATAGACATGTTTTAAAAAAAACCGACGTCAAATAGAAAAAAAAAAGATATTCCAAAACAAATTAATATACACTAAAAACAATAATCATCGGAATCGGTTGGCGTGATGTTGAGTTAGTGAGTTATTCATCTATTTGTCGCGTACGTACTTAATGCAAATTTAAGACTTTTATGGTTTTGTCATGGATACCATTAACAGAACTGGACTAAATTGAAATGGGACTACACGAGAAGCGTCAGCTTTCTAATAAAAAAAGAACAATCATCAAAATCGATTCACCCAGTCAAAAGTTATGAGGTAACAACCATAAAAATAATAATGGCATACAGTCGTATTGAGAGCCTCCTCTTTTTTGAAATCGGTTAAAAGCTGATTAATATGCTAATTTTTGTTGAATTATTAAGATATGAAGTTGAAGTCTCCCTCAATTGTCTTATAAAGTCGTATTTCCACTTTCTGTACAACCTAAGAACTTTTGTCTGTTATATCCTCATGCTCGTATTTTTTGACAAAATATTTAGCAAGAAAACAGTTCATCACATACTTTATATATTCCTCCCGGTGAAGGTCATGCGGCGATCTGAGGAGGTCGAGGCCGCACGGCGTGCTACCAGCACTCTACGTGCCGCCAAGGAGAAATATCAACATCCTGATAAAAGAGCAACCAGTTGGCGGTAGATCGCGTCCTGACCCGGTAGGCTGGTTCTGGTCCAGTATTGCGGGACACCAGCGGCACCGTCTGAGCGGCCTGACGGGCTGCCGTACTGAGACGGGTGACGTTTCAGAACCTTCGATTCGCCTCGAAGACTCCGTCGGCTGGGCGTCCTTAGGGTGAGCTGCGCCGTCAGGTTGTAGTGTTGACCGCGGTAACCCCCTTACCTCATCCGGGTTAAGACCTCGGAGGGAATCGGACGCTTGGGCGAAGAGTGCAGGGGAATCGTTAAGTGGGTAGGGGCCTGAAAATATCCTTGGGCCCGCGGTTTCGCGATCGCGGACCAGCCCCACATACCCCGGGCGCCATCTAGGCGCGGGGACCTCGTAGGAGGTTCGGCCCCGCGCCTAAAAAACTTGATATATTAGTAATCGTGCAAAATTAATGCTTTATTTGAAAATGTAAAAGTATTATTAGGTATATATTTACAGATACAAAATGTCATGCATAGTGCAAGTTGAGCAGGGCTTATTGGAGGGAACGAAGCGTCAGAGCTGCCGTGGTCAGTATTACTATAGTTTTGAGGGAATACCGTATGCGAAGCCACCTATTGGAAAGCTAAGATTTAGTGTAAGTTGATGGTGTTTTTTTTATTTATGTCTAAAGTTAAACGAAAGTTCTGGATAACCAAGTTAAAACTTACTCATTTGGAAACCTCAAGCCTCGAGACGAGGACTAGTGAAAGCGAACTCTAACTCTGTCTTAGACAATTAGAACATAAGGTCAGTCGCACCAGCTACCTGCGGCTGATCGCCTTGCGGATGGTTCTGGACTGTCCAATAATGCAACACTTGACACGTGTGCATTTTGAGCACTCTTGATCCAAATCAACCTTTAGGTTAAGGTAGTTTTGACATTCATTTTTATCTTTAGTTTTATTATTATTATTATTTTATTCCGAAATTGTAGTTATTGTTTTTATTGAAGTCTGTTATACTATAAAAAATGTTAATGATTGTAATATGGATGCAAAATCTGAGGTAAATGAAATAAATAAATAAAACTTATGAGTCATTAGTATTATGTAATAGTATTGATCAGTAAGTACTAAACCGAGTAAAAATACATTTGAATCCCTGATCTAGATCAACAATTTATTTATAAAACTCATCGCACAATCCAAACATGAGTTTTTACTGACTCACAATAAGTTTCCTGAATTCGTAATGACAAGTTTTCTCTTTGGGTTGCTTGAAGTACTTTTTTTTGTACTACGTTAACCCATCGACTCATGATGCAAGTTCGAGATGCTTCTGTGATGGTAACCCAGCCACATAGGTAATATTGATGCAATGGAAAAGCTAATGCTTCTTGTGATTTAAGACAAAAGCTTAATGGCTAATGTTATATCTGTATGTGAGAAGCTATTTATACTTTGAGACGTAATGAAGATGAGCTCTGGTGTTCGCCAACGCCCGATCGTCGTTACATTCTGCATGACTGATGTTTGATTGATCAGCTGTAACCTAATCTGACATACGGCCTTTTGCGAAGCATTTAACTCAAAGGCATTGTTTCAAAATTTCAGAATCCACAAGAACCCGATCAATGGAAAGGAATACGTAGCGCAACAAGTCCCTCAAACAAATGCGCCCAATTAAATCCTTATTCTAACTCAGCGTTAGTAGGTTCGGAAGACTGTTTGTACTTAAACATTTACACGCCTAGTTTGCCAGCTGAAAAACTCGAGAAATTACCAGTAATCTTCTTCGTCCACGGCGGTCGTTTGATTGTAGGCTACGGAGATTATTATACACCGGATTATTTGATTAAAAACGATGTTATTTTAGTAACGTTAAATTACAGGTTAAATGTGTTAGGATTTTTGTGTTTGAATTTACCGGAAGCACCTGGTAACGTTGGAATTAAGGACACCGTCTACGCATTACGTTGGGTCGGTAGAAATATTTCTCGTTTTAATGGCAACCCTGGCAATATAACGGTTTTCGGTGAAAGCGCCGGTGGGGCCATTGTATCTTCGTACTTAACCTCAAAGATGACTGTTGGTCTTTTTAGTAAGGTTATTGCGCAGTCCGGAAATTCAATAGCTGATTTTTTTGTGATTAACGAGGATCCTATTGAGAAAGCGATAAAATTGGCGTCAGTTTTAGGCAAGGATTTGAAAGATCAACGGTCTTTATACGAGTTCTTAGTACAGGTTCCGTTAGTAGATTTGGTGAATGCGTTTACCCAGCTAGAACTGAGTCGGCCGCCTAGTATTATCAATGCGTATTTCTTACCGGTCGTCGAGAAAAAGTTCGATAACGTCGAATGTTTTTTCGAGGAACATCCCATAGTGTCCATTAAGAATAATAGGGTACAAAAAGTGCCCGTAATAACAGGTTATGTCACTTACGAATCGGCGCTGTTCGTCCAAAAAGACGACTCTGGTAAGATCGTATATGTAGACGACTTTCATAATTTTATCCCTCGATTCTTGGGTGTCGAAGAGAGCACGGAAAGATCTAGAGTTTTCCAGAAGAAACTACGCGAATTCTATTTTGCGGGCCGGGAATTGAATGACGATTTGAAGATTGATTATTTGGTAATGATCACGGACGTGTATTTCGTTAGGGATATCATTTATTTCGCTGAATTACTATCGAAACACAATCCTGAGGTGTATCTATATGAATTCGGTTTTGACGGCAACCTGAATACGAGGGTTATGAAGAGTTTGGGAGTGAAGGGAGCGTCGCACGGAGACATCGTGCAGTATCAGTTTTACAGGAAGAGCAAAGCAGATAAATGCGGGGAGGCTGACGAGAGAACGATTGACTTCTTGAGCGAATGCTGGAGTAATTTTGCTAAATACGGGTGAGTTGAAGATTTTGAGTAGTAAGAAACTCATGTAACCGGTGGTAGGGTTTTGCGTTCCTACTTAATGTCTACCGTGAATTGGGTAGAAAAGGCAGACTTCCACCTGATGTTTCAAGGTGGGTGACTGTATCCGCGTTGTGTTGCTTAAGGGTTCTGGTGAGCCGTTTAGTACGGACTGGACTTCAAGCTTCTTTACCCATTTCGAAAAACAACGTAGCACTTATTTTGCCATACATTACTTTTGTAAAAGGTCATCGGCAATTTCCTATGTTGATTAGGGCTTGTTTAAAACATTTTTAAGAGTCATCTTCGCTCCTCGCGCAATTAGAATGGGCAGCCAGGAGTCAGGGGAGGCGATGCGTGACTTCTGCGAATCTTTCATCTCGCAGAAAGAGGGACTAGGCAGCAAAACTCTTATAATATCGCTGTTATGACTGCGAAGCGTGGGTACTTAGTAATGTAAACTTTTCAGCGTACCAACATGGAGGAATCAGAAAACAAAATGGCTGCCTTACTCAACGAACAATAGACGGACGCTAGTCATAAATGACGAGATAGAATTAAAGAGAGACGTTAATTTGAATCGCATTAAGTTCTGGTACGATATGATCAAGGATAAGAGTAAATTGTGAATTAATTAAGATTAAACGGTGGTGGTTATTTCATTGTGCCATTATTCAATGGTGGATAAAGAATGTAACACTATACTAGGGAAAAAGCGTATTACTCTCTATACAAAAATCATTTGATAGATAGGCTGCCACTTCTCGAGCCGAAAGCTGAAATCGTCGACCGGGAAATCATTAATACCGCGCCAAGAAATAAAATACGCAGTAATGTACCTGATTTATGAAAAAAAAACTTGAAAATCTGATGTGGAAAGCCTCGACTTTGGTAACAACTATAATGCCTTCTACTGACTCAGAATTAGGTTTGAAAAAAAAGAACGCATGTATCCCAAAATTGATTAATATTTGCGTTTAAAAATAATTAGCGTGTAGAATTGTTTGATCCAAACAATGTTGATGTGAAACATCTATGCCGTACGTAAAACCGATTGATGGCGTGGCGACGCATCGCCACGCGCAAGCGACTGTTTCTTAATATTAAAATTTTATTTTTCATTATACCACATGAATTTCGTGTCGTAAGCCTTATCCGTATCCATTTATTTCCACCAACAAAGTGATCATCAATACAAAACAGTGACAAACTGTACAAAAGTACATAGCAGATGTCACCTCAATTATAAGTGCAATTGACAGCGCATTGACCTCTTGTGAGTCCACATGGGTAGGTACCACCACCTTGCCTATGAAGAGTGACCGTGTGAAGCATCGATATATTACCACTAGATAACGCATCACATACAAAAACCAAACACAAATATGGCATCGACTAACTGATCTGACTACACCATCAAGTGGAGAAGAACGATGTATAATATAATAATTGTAACCTAAACTATGCCTTTTCCCCAAGCAATAAAGTGCAGTTTAGGTTATTTTAACATTCACTTACGACCTTACGCCATGAATGACAGAAAAAGATAGTTTCTTACAAAAACTTTTATTCCAAATTTAACCTTATTTTCTTAAAAATAAAGCAAAAATTTACACGCATAGCATTTTACTTACGCCCTTTTAAACTTACGATATTAAGACTTTACTGCTCCGAACAGAGTATTACGGAGTCGCACTTTATACTTTTTTTGTAAGAATATTTTGAGTAGTTTATTTTTATTATGTTTTTTTAATTCATATTCATTCAATTTTTTCAATTTAATTCCTTATGATTAACAACAAATATTGTATAACTATAGATAATTATACCTGAGTTAGCTATATTGTACCTTGCACATCGGTGGGGAAAATGGATAAGAGCTTTTTAAATCACAACAATATAATCCCAATCAAATTGTTTTATTTATTAAATACATGTCAGATTCGGTAAAATGGTCTGCACAAACCACACTGGAGCAATTAGGTTTGAAATAATTGTCGCTTCTTTTTTCTTTTATTACTCTGTTATTAAATCTGTAAAAATGTAAAAACAAATTCCAGTTTACAGATTTCACTTCGCCGTCCGTTGTACAGACGTCTGTTGCATTCGTATCTGATCTAGCGATACACGGGGTGTTCGAATCCCAGGCGGGTACCAATTTTTCTAATGAAATACGTACTTAACAAATGTTCACAATTGACTTCCACGGTGAACGAATAACATCGTGTAATAAAAATCAAACCCGCAAAATAATTTGCGTAATTACTGGTTGTAGGACCTCTTGTGAGTCCGCACGAGTAGGTACCACCACCCCACCTATTTCTGCCGTGAAGCAGTAATGCGTTTCGGTTTGAAGGGTGGGGCAGCCGTTGTAACTATACTTGAGACCTTAGAAGTTATATCTCAAGGTGGGTGGCGCAAATGCGCAAATGGCAGCGTAAATACGCTGTAGATGTCTATAGGCTCCAGTATAACCACTTAACTCCAGGTGGGCTGTGAGCTCGTCCACCCATCTAAGCAATAAAAAATAATAAAAAAATAAAAAATTATGTGACTCCACTACACTTGTTCTGAAATAGCCCTATTTCATCCTTGTCTTGCATGTAACCGTTATTATGTGTGCGAAAGAAATAACTGCGAAGCAAAATAATAGGATTTAATTTCTTGAAGTACTAATTTGGTAAGAATAACTGATTTATTTCAAATATTTATCACTATCTGTTAATAAAAATTATAAAACTTACCAAAAATACTAAATTTCATGTTGTTTTCTCTTTATAAGCGTGTTTTTTACATCTTTTTACAGCGCATTTTAGGATCGTTCCACTCGACGGTCGGCGTGACACTGACGGCAAAACAGTGCTTAATATGAATCTAAGCACTGTTTTGTTTGGTTACTTTTGACGCCTTTACGCGGGATCTAGTGGTAATATATCGATAGTGTGAAGGGTGGGGCAGCCGTTGTAACTATACTGAGACCTTAGAACTTATATCTCAAGGCGGGTAGCGCATTTACAGTTGGAGATGTCTATGGGATCCAGTAACCACTTAACACCGGGTGGGATATGGGGCTCATAGCTAGTCCACTCGTCTAAGCAATAATTTTTTTTATATATTTATATATCTCGACTGCATTTGATTACATAAGCATGCATTGATTACTTTTGTGCATCTATACTTGTGTGCTTAGTGCGAGTTTTATGGAGTTTGAACAGCGCTCCTACGTTTGCAAATTTGAGTTAACTGTGTCCATAGCGCGAGTTTTTTAACGTTCTCGATAGCGTAAACGTGGAACGTTTGCCTACGTTTGCCGCTAGGGGCGCTGTTCGAAGTCAATTCGATTTAACTTTTACGCTATCGATAACTTCATAAAACTCACACTAAGCACAATGCGCTGTTGAAATGTACTTAATAAGCACGCGACACCTTTTTCGTTCCTATAAAAAATTTTGGTCTGACCTGATCTGAATCAGCTCTAACAGTACATGTTATAAGGTTATCTGAAGCAGTCTTCCATGAAGTTTTCAAACAGATTCTAAAAAACTCGCGCCATTTGTGGCCGACCTCTGTGCATTGGCACTAGGGTTGCCAGACGTCTCGGGACTCTGGTCTCTGTCCCGTATTCGAAGCGTGCGATTTTAATTGTATTGATTTTTATAAATATGTTAAAACCGATAAAAATATGTTAAAATTGACTTGCTCCTCGAAAAAATATCAATAAAGAAATAAAGATTGTCACTATATAATTTTGTTTTTTATTTGTCCCGGGTAAAAAACTAATTTCCCGTATTTTTTGTCTATTTAAGCATTTGCCCCTTACAGGCTGAAAAAATCTGGCGACTCTAATTGGCACCCCTAAAACAAAATCGCACACAATAAAATTGCGCCCAGCTAAGCTATGTAGACATAGATTATACACTTAGTGACTTAATATATTTGAGATATGTAGATTTTGCTAGGACACAAGAGCTGGTCGGTACTGAATTTGGATAGAAAATAAAAGAAAAACACAGAAATAAAATAAAAATAAAACATTTATTCACTATCATTATCTCTAATGCACCATACACTATATACAGAAATGTAATTTAATAAGTTTTCAAACATTACGTTTTTGTAAACTATTGAAAAGTTTACGAAGATTTCTAAAAACCATTTTCTAACTATAGCATTGAGCACGAATACAGTTGGAAATCGACTGTAAGATAGATTATAGCGAATGATATCTGATCTACGAAAATTTCGTATGAACTTCTGACGTGAATTACAAATGCATACGTATTCAATGTTGGAGTTAGCCAATATGGCCGCCATTTTGAAGACTGTTCAAATTTTAATGCACCTTTTACCTTAAACATCGATTCTTATCTACTACGCTTTATATTTTAAACTTAATTTAATCTTATAAACGAAATCACAAAAGTCTATTCAGAGATAGGTGTCCGTGCGACATTTACCATTTGATACATCGATTATGAATTTTATCAACGCAGTTATTAACTCGCGACATTATAACAAATAAATTGAGATTGAGAATTGATGCCCGCCTAAATTTTATTTGGACGCATACGCGACAGAGATGACGCTCTACAAAAACGAAGTTTGACGATCGTCTTTTTCTTGCAGCCGATGGATATGATTTTGCCGCGAATATTACAGTGATCGATGATATTACTTAAAAAAAAAAAAGAGTTTAAATTTTGATAATAAATATGTACATTACCTTTTGTCGTAACATAACAATATAGTTTTACACTGCGTAAAAGCTCCTTTATATTAATAGTAAACTGGTAATACCTATCAAGGATTTTCTTTTCTGAGAGTGGCGTATTTTTTAATGTAGTTTTTTGATGTAGCAAAACGTAATGCGAGCACGGACACTTTAAATTAAAGGTATAAGTAATCTACTGTTAATATCCACAATTTGTTAACGAGGAGATAATATAAGATATTGAGCAATTAATCAGTCGTGTTTAAAATTATTAGGTAATGTGCAATGTGTTAATGAGGCAAATAAAAATGAACACAGCGCCATCTAGTTCAAAAAAAGCGATTTCGGTAAATTTTATAATAAATTTCTAGCGTAAAGAGAATAGAATTTTGCTTAATGATCTTAAATTCGAACCGTAGTCTTGATGTTTTTAAAAACTAGATGGCGATGATAGCACATGTTTGAATTTCTTATTTTGGCGGATAGCCGTCATTTTATTTATAATAATTGGCATTTTAATGGAATGTATTTTTCGACAGTCAGATTTGTAATATATAAATTACTAAAAAGAATTAGCGCATTTTTATTTTTAATAACCAAATAAATTGTTCGCTTGACGCTTTGTATACATACCACCGATGGTTTCCTACTTCAGTGCCACCGTTCGACACAAAATGACGTTGCAATTGAAATGTCAAACGGTAAGTAATTCCCGTTATTATTACATAATTGAAAAAGTTTTTTTTAAAAGGTAGGTAGACGAAGAACTACACTCTATCAAATACGAAACTAAATTACTGGCCTATAAGACTTCTAAAATAATACCCTGGGCGTTAGCCATAAAAAATAATTGTTAAAAGTTGTAAGTATGGCAAGACTGAACCTAAATAAAAATCATCAATTATTTGACACTATCTCTGTATGTGACACAGCATGTATTTTTCAAATACATTTGCAGGCAATAGGTTTTTCAGTTAGTGATGGGATCATTCTGTGTATATCTGAGATGTAACATCGATTTCTAAGAATCGAACAACTAGAGAGACAGATTGGGGTCATTTTGAAATTCACAATTATTGTGAATGTTGCACGTCCAACAAACATGTAAGTAATCCGACTTATATTATTAAGCATAGAGTCTTTCCTAGAAAATATTTCCGCGCCCCAGAATCATTGCTAGTACATGATCATCGAAAAATTTCGTACTTACAATTATTTTAATTACCAAAATATATCACACAGGTAAGTCGATGTATGTGATTTAAACAAAACCAATTCGACAAATAGTCTTATTAAATGTGTCTTAGGTTGATAAATCGCGCCGGACATTAGCGATACGATGGTTGTGGATGGTTATATAATACGTGTTAATTTTTTCACCGTGTTTTTTTAGTAAATTAACTAATTATCATGGCACGGTCCATTACTTGATTTTTCGGTAATTAAAACCCACATTTATACAGGTATTGTTCGTAAAAAAAGAGGTGTTTATTTAGCATTTATACATATAAATAAAATTGGAGTGTCTGTTTGTAATATTGAAATAACAGCTTTTTACTACATGAATATGAATATATATACGGTACATACACCAAAATAACATTTTTACAATTTTTGTCTGTCTGTTTGTTCCGGCTAATCTCTGGAACGGCTGGACCGATTTTGACGGGACTTTCACTGATAGGTAGCTGATGATATAAGGAGTAACTTAGGCTACTTTTTTTTTGAGCAGCTTCGCCCCGCGGTGTCACCCGCGGTACGACAATAACCGCGGATAACATCGCGGGACTCAGCTATCAATAATAAAATTTAATGTTTCCGAAACGAAGCGAGGGCGGGTCGCTAGTATTAAATAAATTAATAAAGGTCTATTGTTTTTTTTTGTGTAATAACTGATATTGCACAGGCGAAACACGCATTAATCACACCACGTTCCGATCGTTTCGTGCATAAGTACACGCGCCGTATTTATCGTGAGAACAACGATGTAAAAAGCCAGATTCTTAACGACTTTCCGCATTCGCCGCGTCTCAATCCGATATGTGTAAGCTTAATTCGTTGTTCCTCTCATCCAAGTCTTTGAGGTTCCTCATTCGCTGCGAGCCGCCCAGGCTGACGTCACAGCCCTCCAGCTCTCCGTCTTCGATGACCTCAAGGTATTTGAAGTCCTCGTCGCTGTCCGTCTGATTTATGATCTCGTAAGCTTTTGACGTTTGACTTGAATCTTTTAGAGACGGCTTCCTGTCGAACAAGTTTTTGACGTGCGCCATTTCTGTCAGTTTGTCCTTGACGCTGTTGACGGTTTCGTATAGCCTGTCATTTAATTTGATGTTTAATTTGATCATTTCATCGGAGTCGCTCTCCGAGAGTGGTATCTCGCAGGGTGCGTACACTCCATCATTCAGCTTGGCCTTCTCGAGCCAAGCGTCCTTGTTCTTTTCGAAGTTCTTGAACATCACCTTGAAGCTGAGTATGTAGATGGTGGTGATGACGAGGACAGCTCCGGTGATGAACATGATATACATCGCCGCTTGCTCGACTATTGGCAGTATGTTTAGGTATAGTTTGAATCTTTGCTCCAGTGAAGGTGGAAGCGAGTACATTCTCTGTAATGAAAATCGGTACAGTTAGTTTTAGTCGATAAGTTTATTGTTGGCTAATTTTTTATGCGGTAATCGTTTAACTATTCTGAACTATTGTTGGGTGCGAATGAAGTATTTTGAGCGTAATTACACCGGTCATCGTTCTCGTCGAACCCGTCGCTTGCGACGAAGGGCTCGGCGAGTAAACTAACCCACAGACACAGCCCACTGAGTTTCTCGCCGGATCTTCTCAATGGGTCACGTTTCCGATCCGCTGGTAAATTCTGCGAAGCCCTGCTCTTACTAGGGTCAGTGTTAGGAACGTCATCAGGTTAGAGCCCCATGAGCTCACCTACTCGCTCGGTTACGCTGGTATAGCGTCTCAAGGCTACCGGCTTAGGTAGGGAAGAAAAAAAAGCGTAATTAATGGTATTCAAATCCATTAAAGACTCTTTGCCTCGAAAACACGTAAATAATGAACGATTTTTGGATCTTTTAATGTGGTATCTTTAATAATCAGCGCACAGACCTTACTGCTGGACATAGAAGTCTACCAAAATCCCAAAAGACCATAGTCTGCACCCAAAGAAACATGTTTTTCGCCATTAGCGCCCCGCTTGGCATGCTGGTTGGCGATCGCTCAGCGGGGGAAACTCTTAATCGCCTCATGACATCAATAGTAAGAGATGGAGTGGTGCTATTACTTTTCGAGGGCTTTTTTGGTGCATCGGTGTGTGTGTATGGTGTTTAAAACTTCGCAAATACCTAAGCAAATTTTGTGCAAGTCTTCAAATGTCCCGTACCACATGCGGAAGACTTATGTCCTGTCAGGAAATTAAAACTCAAACGTACGTAAGGATTGCGTTAGAGGAATAGCCAAGCTGTATTTATTACTCACGATATCGAACCAGAGCATCGGTAGGTACATATTGGAGAATCTTTCCGTGTTCGTGATGCTGGATATGCTACCGAGTGCCATGTTTATCTGGAACTTGGAGCTGACCTCCAGAGGCAGACCCGATTCCGGCTGAATCCAGAAACTGTGAACGAAAAATGGAGTTATGAAGACATTTACTGGTGGTAGGATGCCTAGTAAGTCTGCACGGGTAGATACCACCGCCCTGCCTATTTCTGCCGTGAAGCTGTATGTAAAATTGAGACTTGGAACTCGCATCTCAAGGTGGGTGGCGGCATTTACGTTGCTGATGTCTATGGACTGTGTTTACTCGGCTTCTAAACTCAAGATAAAACTCATAGCTCTTCTCGTACACAAACACACATGTAGAGTAAGTACAGTGCTATCTATAGAAGATTGCACAAAGTGGGAATGAGTTGCTCGCTCCGGGCATTTCAATATTGTAATAATTGTTATGTTATTATACTCATGTAAAAATGAATATTTAAAAAAATCTAATATTAAAAAAATAATCTAATATAAAAAAAAAAAAGAAAAAACATGCCCGCTGAGTTTCTTGCCAATTCTTCTCAGGACGGAGGCTAGTTCTTGTGAATTGGCGGTAGTTCTTTTGACGTTCAATAAGTATGTACTTTCATTTATGTTGAATAAAAAATTTTTGATTTGATTTGATTTGATTTGATTTATATATTAATACGTGAAGCAAAAAATTTTTGTACCCCTTTTTACGAAAATTATACGGACGGAGGAGTATGAAATTTCCTATACTTACAGAGAGTATACAGAAGGAGTGCAGAAAGCTAATATTCTTTAAAAAATATGTATTGAAAATACATTACATACACTACCATGTATTGGACACGGATACGCATATATACTCTTTTGTTTATTGTGAAACTTTTGTTAGTGTTTAAAGCCTGTGGTCAAATTGAGAATAGATTAATATTGTTTGTCTTAGACGAAATCTGTGATTATAGAAGTAAAATAGAACCAATATAACCATAATAATGTTTAAAGTTATATTTTAAATTAATAATTAATATGGTCGAATTTCGACCGGTGGGCGACCACTAGTATGATTTAAAACAGTCAGGTATTCAGGCTCACCTGGTTTCATGCTCCTCCTGTTTGGGCGTCAGCCCTTCGACTTTGCTGAAGAGGACGTCGTCTCCTTTGTAGAAGTGGGGATAGGACAGAGCTATCGGGAAACCGTAGTAACAGTCCGCCACGTCGATCAGTCCTTCTGGGAGGCATTTTCCTAAAATAATAATAATACAATACTAAGTTTTAATGTTTTCTTCGGTGTTCTTGTGACGTAGAAATAGAAGGTTTAATCTGGCGTTATTTATTGTATTTTTTTTTTGCTTAGATGGATGGACGAGCTCACTGCCCAAGCGCTAAGTGGTTACCGGAGCCCATGGACATCTACAAGGTAAATGCGTCACCCACCTTGAGGTATAAGTTCTAAAGTCTTAGTATAGTTAAAACGGCTGCCCCGCCCCTGAAACCGAAACACATTACTGTTTCACGGCAGAAATAGGCAGGGTGGTGGTACCTACCCATGCGGACTCACAAGAGGTCTTAAAACCAGTAACTACCACCATTACATTATGGTCGTTGTCTGGTTGAGTGTAGATGAAGGATAGAGCTGACTGACGGCTTGTAGAGTCAGAGTCGTCGGAGAGGTAATGATGCAAATTAAACATCGATATGTTCAAACATCGTGCGTAGGCTACAAATATGTACTTGGATTTTTCCTATCACCCTCAGTTATAGCAGCAAATATATAGTATATATATAGTATATCAGCAAAATACATTCGTGTGAATTCGAAAAAAAAGTTTAAGTAATTTTTGTAAATGGTGATAAAAGCATCGAAAAAAAAAATACCCGCGATAGTATATCGTTCATAAAGAACGATGTTATTCACTTTTGAAAAAATCGATATCATAATATCGATATTTTTTATGAGCGATGTTGCGTGCCTACGGAGAGGCAGGTCAATACAATGTGGACGACTTATTGGCGGGAACGCGAAGGGTGAAATTGTGCGATTTGTTTTATTTTCTCTATTTAGTGTTTCTCCAGGCTAAAATGTGTAATGACGGTGGTTTATTAACTGTTTAGTATCCGTGAAAGTGCACAAATGTGGGAAAATGAAAAAAAGCTGCTGGACGTAACTTCTCGGGGTCCTCCAAAAAGTACACTAAAAGAATCTCAGTAAATAACCACCATTTTACCAAGTATAATATAATTATATATTTCATCTCATCTCATCTCATTTCATTTCATTTCACTCCATTTTATCATTTTTCATAAAATGAAGAATATAAATTAAAATAAGACATGACCTAAAGGTCTTAGTTACCAGGTCATAAAATCCCTTAAAAAATGAATAGTCTCATTCTTGGCTTACAAATCAGATATGTGCTTTCTCCAAGGGGACCATCACAAGAATGCCCTCGCTGTTCTGATTACGCTTAAGTCCTGCCTTGGAAACGAGAATGGTCGTTGTGCTGATTCATTTTGAAGACCACGCTGATGTTTTCCACTCACCATTCCTGCAGAAGCATTTGTTCTCTTCGTTATGTTTGCCGTTGTCGAGCATGTGCTCCGGGAAGACGTACTTCACGCCCCTTATGCCGCTTCTGACGCCCTCCTCGCTAGGGATCTGGAACGATATGGATTGTAAAAGAAAACATTTCGTCTTTAATACAGGAATCTTGGGACGGTATTCCATTAGATTTTGTTTACCAACTGCCGATGTGATGAAGCAGTCGTGGCCTAAAGGATAAGACGTCCGGTACATTCGTGTTGAGCTATGCAACGGTGTTCGAATCCCGCAGGCGGGTACCAATTTTTCTAATTAAATACGTACTCAACAATTGGTCACGAGTGACTTTCACGGTGAAGCAATAACATCGTGTAATAAAAATCAAACCCGCAAAATTATAATTTGCGTAATTACTGTTAGTAGGATCTCATGTGAGTCCGCGCGGGTACGTACCACCACCACCCTGCCTATTTCTGCCGTAAAGTAGTAATGCGTTTCGGTTTGAAGGGTGGGGCAGCCGTTGGGCTCACAAGAGGTACCACCAGTAAAATATCTCTGAATACCTCTACCAATAACTCTGCCAATGCCGGTCCCGGTAACTATCCTGAGACCTTAGAAGTTATATCTCGGGTATATATAGGTAGTTGGCGGCATTTACGTTGTAGATGTCTATGGGCTCCAATAACCACTTAACCCCAGGTGGGCTTGTGAGCTCGTCCACCTATCTATGCAATCAATAAAATAAAATAAAGATAGGCACCACCATTTCGTCTATTTCAAAGAGCGCCGATAACCGCTGAAAAACAAGGGGACCGCCCGATTCCCTTCCTGCTACTACTAGAATTACTCACCAAAGGAGCAGCTCGGCACAGACTCTTCCTATAGAACAGCAAGGTTTCGTTTTTGGTGACGCCACCCCTGAACTTGGTGCCGTCAGACGCGTACTGCACGTTTGAGCAGTGCTTCCCCTCCCACTGCGGCAGGTCGGTGGAGCCGCGGTACGTGTCGATGAGGCCGGAGAGTCTGATATCAGTTTCGCCTGTGTAGACCGTCTCGAAGTCTCCATCGAAGTCATACATCTGTACAGGAAAAAGCGCAAGGAGATTTGACAAACAAACAAAATAATTGTGTGTCTGTAAATGCGGTTTACGGACGATAGTTTTACGTGATAACGTCACTAGCAGGACTATTCGAAGCTATTGCTTAGAAGGGTGGACGAGGTCACAGCCCACCAGATATTAAGTGGTTACTGAAACCCATAGACATCTACAACGTAAATGCCGCCACCTACCTTGAGATATAAGTTCTAAGGTATCAAGTATAGTTACAATGGCCGTCACTTCAAACCGAAACGCATTACTGCTTTACGGCAGAAATAGGCGGGGTGGTGGTACCTACCCGCGCGGACTCACAAGAGGTCCTACCACCAGTAAGCTAGCTCTGATGACACGCGAGAAGAGAGATAAATGTGTCACAAGGCAACGCTTAGGCCGATTGTGCCTCTCTATCGCTTGTTCCGCGCTCTCGCTTGCGCGCTGGCTTAGGTGGAACTTGACACTTTTCCGTGCGTGCAACCGGTGTTCATGGATTTATAAGACGTTAGATCACGTCAAAAAAAAACAAAATAAATTAGTACTTAAGCCGACTTCGGCAATATAAAAAGCGTATTATAAATGCAGTCGAAGTTAATTGAATATGTATTATTAAGGATGAATCGATGATAACGTAATTAATTCAATTATGTTAAGAAACTCACCCGATCGATCAGGCCGAGCTTGTCGAAATAAATCCATCTCGGGAGGAAGGTGTTGCCCAGGGTCATCAGCTCGGACTTATAGCCCATCATGAACTCTTTGGCCGTCATTTTCGTCAAGGGCTGGCTGTTTGTCAACGTAATCAGATTGTTTAAGCCGAATCTCGCGAATAAATTCTGCTGGGAGACTACGTTTGCAATGCTCTATGAAGAAAAGAAAAAAATCAATTGGAATTAGGTAATTGAAAAATATAACACTGAACCAAATAATATATTTATTTTTTTGCTTAGATCACAGCCCACCTGGTGTTAGTAGTTATAATGGAACATCGGTAAAAACCACTGTAGATTTATATATTAGTATAGATAGTCATATAGTTGTATAATAACAACGGCTGCCCCACCCTTCAAACCGAAATGCATTACTGCTTCACGACTGACGGCTGAAATAGGCAAGGCAGTACCTACCCGTGAGGATTCATAAGAGGTCCTAGCACCAGATACACTAAAGGACCTAAGCTAGGATATTTCTGACCGAAAATTCAATTTTAGCACGGTGTCATTAAGCCCTTTGATCCTTCTCGTATCGCTCTCGTCAGAGCGGTCGTGGTCGTCATTAAGTATCATTGCTGTGGGCAGATTCTATGCGTTCTGGGCAAAGTAGATGGCACCAGAGCGCGTGGAAGGTTGCTCTTGCGATGGCTCGACCAGGTCAAGTCGGCAGTTGGCGGTTGTTTGCATGAGTGTATCAGACTCACCACAAACCATGAGAAGTGGTGATTGCTCGTGAGGCGCATAGCATCTGCCCACAGCAATTTAAGCTGCTTTCAGACTACGCTATACTATAGTGCCATATAGTATATCAGCGTATACTTAGCCAATAATATATAGTACAGTACAGTGTGAACGTGTCCGTAACAATGTATAGTGCGCGATATTGTTGTACTATGAGCTTTAAACTAAATGCTATTATATTATAGCGTAGTCTGAAAGCAGCTTTAGACCATATTTATGGTTTAATATCGCTTTTTTTTTCATTAAATCGAGGGGTGCAAGGCTTCAGCTTAAGCGACATTTTTGAAGCTTTACTTAAAGTGAGAGAAAATTTGGAACAAATATCATGAAATAAAAAAAAAACTTCTTCAGCTATTTAAATTACTCAGTCAGCGTAAACATAATTGAAGTTCGCTTAAAGACATCGAACTGTTGATGCTGATATCGAATAAAACGCACCTTTCTTTAATTACAAAGATAAATGTCGCGTGTTAAGTGAAATGGCATTTAAATCAAATAGCCTTACATCGTTCGATATTATTTCCGATGTTTCGTATACTTAACAGGTTCCGTGGTGGCGGGCAAATGATTTTAACGCTTAGTTTGGCAGTTTTACAAGTACAAAACAAAACACAAAAAACAAACGAATCAATTTTCGCGAGTAAATCTATACTAATATTATAAAGAGGAAAGATTTGTTTGTTTGTTTGTTTCGAATAGGCTCCGAAACTACTGGACCGATTTGAAAAATTCTTTTTCCATTAGAAGCCGACATTGTCCCTGATGAACATAGGCTACTTTTTTTAAAAAAAATTTTTTTTTTTTTTTGGTTTCATTTGTGTTTTAATGTTTCCGAAGCGAAGCGAGGGCGGGTCGCTAGTAAACAATAAAGTAGTTAACTCTTGTTTTCATGTTATTTTCAAATTTCTTTTTTGGCGTACTGTTAACATTTAAATTTAGCCTATTTTTGCCGCTGTTTGTAAAATTGCTGTAACATGTCACAGTGTGTTTTAAGAGATTGCTGTACATGCCTGTAGCTGGCTTACATACCAGTACTTAATTTTATACATGTTAATTTTAAGCTTGAATGTTTTGTGTGTATTGCTGTTGCTGTGTCTAAATAAACTAGAGGTCCCGCAGTAGTCGAAATTCGACTATAATTAATTGGAATTGTAAGTTTGTACACTATTATGATTGTATTTTATACAAATTTCGCCAAGACTACACTATAAAAAATATTAACAAAGACAAACAATATTTAATCTATTCTCAATTTGACAACAGACGTCAAGAACAAAAGTTTGACAATAAAGAGTATGCATGCGTGTGTGCATCAAATACATGGTATGTAGTGTGTGTAATGTTTTCTTTACTGATTTAATGTATCTTTTATGCATTATTTTAAAAAAATATTAGCATTGTGCACTTCTTCTCTATATTCTCTATAAGTGTGGAAAATTTCATGCTCCTCCGTCCGCGCTATTTTCGTAAAAAGGGATACAAAGTTTTTGCTTCACGTATTAATATATAGATAAACGCAATTCCTCGCTTTATGCGTATAATCGAGTATTTCGTATTGAAAATTGACGAAGTTACGAAAATTTTACGGTACTACGAAATCGTAAACCAGCCTTTCCCAAAGTGGGCGATAACGCCCCCTTGTGGGCGCTGCAAGCCTAAAGGGGGGCGGTGAGAGACCCTGAAAAAAAAATGGGGGCGTTGTGTAGAGGCTTGGGAGGCGATTTGTAATTTCATCTAGGAGGACTCTTAGACACCAACTGAGTTCTGGTTATAATGGTTTTTAAGTAGGTGAAAAAATGGGGGCGCTAAAAAATAATTTATTCTCAAAGTGGGCAGTAGACCAAATAAGTTTGGGAACCCCTGTCGTAAACAAACAAACATGATTTAAGATAATTCATTCAAAATTACACTGACGCTAAATGTTTTCCCAATAACGCCGCACAGTAAATGTATTTCTACTATTGCGATAACCTTTTGATTCGATGAATTGTGTAATTGTTATTAGAAAACGTACTTACATTTTGAAATAGCAAAAGGGCTTTTAACATAGCATTGAATTTGTCAATAGTCAAATTGGTTTTTATATTGGCGCGTAATGCGAACTACATATAGTCTATGCTACAAACGTCTGAATGTGTTATCTGTGCATTGACAAAACACAAAAAAATACCATACGACTTAAATAATATGTTACTATAAAAAAAGTTGTATGTCAGTGTCTTAGCTAGTATTGTTTTCTTCATTATTTATTAACGAAACAAAAATTAACATTAATTACGAAATTAGGCGGAAGTTTAAAAAAAAAATAGATTTCAGACTTGGCAGCCGTTGATTACGCTACACATCTTGAGACAGACGTGAAATACGAAAAAAGCTATATATAGTATATAAGAATATAAGTTAAAAGATCTTCATCAAGCTTAATTAAATCTGCATTTTCGATTCAGCATTTGATTCAAACGAATAATGCGTATCTGATTGCAATTTCAAAATGATATTTCCAAAGGCCGTGTACGTATTTTGAATAGAATTATTGATAATAATTATTTGTGGCCAGCTTAACGCATTAATATTTGTGATGTAATATGTCCTGTGAAGAAACGGTGGAATAAGCTCATTGAGTTCGGTAAATATTTTAAAATTCAACTTACTCTTTTTTTTTTTAAGTAAATTGACATTGACTATGGGATCGTTTGGTAAGCATTGACTCTGTATTATGTCTCACCATACAAATGTTCGTTGGGAGTTTTCTTGTGATTTTTTTTGCTACCTATGCTGATAGACTTGAGAGGCTATATTTTCAGCATAACCTTAACTAGTAGGTGAGCTCACGGGGCTCAAACCTGACAACGTTGCTAACACGAACCCTAGCAAGAGCCGTGCTTCACAGAATCTACCACCGGATCGGAAACGCGACCCACTGAGAAGATCCGGCGGAAACTCAGTAGGCTGTGTCTGTGGGTTAATTTACTCGTCGAGCCCTTCATCGCAAGCGACGGGTTCGACGAGAACGATGACTGGTGCTTGAGGAACCTAAAAGCACTGTTAATGGATTTCTTTTGAGAGATTCTTAGCCCGTGGTAGGGTGTCTTATGAGCCGCACGTGTAGGTAACACCACGAAGCAGTAATGCGTTTCAGCTCTAGCAGCCATTTATTAACACCAGATCAGCCGTGAACTGGTCAATCATCTAATTCTTAACGTTAAATCAATATAAACATGATTGAATCAATATAATTAAATAGATATGATTGAACAAATAGAATACGTCACATAATCAAACCTTGGGCTTCTGTGATAAAATATGGTTCACAGCTAAACGATCACTCCGAATCAGTAAACAATAGCGAAATAAATTTAAATATTAATTAAAACAGAAACAGTAGGTAGATACCTAAGTTAGCGAATGCAAAAAAAAATATGTCAAAATTGACGCATGACATTTAGCGAAATGTCTGAGCGAACTGACACAGTTTATCAAAAGATTATTTATAGATTAGAACATTTTATCTAGATTTAAAACGATATGTCATCGAATAGCAGGTAGTTTGACATTTCAAAAAGGCGCCATTAAATGATCTCTCGCCAGCGTCCAGGCCAAAGAAGTTTGTGGCACAAAAAAATCTTATAAAAATTCAGATCCCAATTTGCAAATTAAGTTAAATGCGATTTCGCAATGAATAACAAATTATTATTATTTAATTATTAAAAAACCTTATGAAGTAAAACAGTAAAAAACTTAGTATGTTTTCGTCTATGTTCGCACGTGTTAGGCACAATTAAAATTATTTGTTTCGGGTTAATTTCGCGTTCCTTATTGTCAGTAGATCGTTGTGGTCGTCCGTGACCACTAGACTTAGCTGCGTGTTCTCTGTATTCATGAAAGCTTGAGCGAATGATACGTGTGCTAAAATCACTGATTTACAAGAAACAACATTTTTTTTATTTTTATTTTTTATTTTTTGTTGCGTGGAGGCGTTTTCCTAAAAAAATAGTAATACAATACTAAGTTTTAGTATTTCCTTCGTTTATTCTTTTGTCGTAGAAATAGAAGGCTTAATCTGGCATTATTTATTGTATTTTTTTTGCTTAGATGGCTGGACGAGCTCACAGCCCACCTGGTGCTAAGTGGTTACTGGAGCCCATACATATCTACAACGTAAATGCGCCACCCACCTTGACGTATGAGTTCTAAGGTTTCAGTATAGTTACAAAGGCTGCCCCGCCCTTCAAACCGAAACGCATTACTGCTTCACGGCGGAAATAGGCGGGGTGGTGCTACCTACCCGTGCGGACTAACAAGAGGTCCTATCACCAGTAATTACGCAAATTATAATATTGCGGGTTTGATTTTTACTACACGATGTTATTCCTTAACCGTGGAAGTCAATCGTGAACATTTGGTGAGTACGTATTTCATTAGAAAAATTGGCACCCGCCTTCGGGATTCGAACACCGGTGCATCGCTACATACGAATGCACCGGACGTTTTATCCTCAAGGCCACGACGACTATCAAATTTAAAGGCTAAAGGTTAAGTTAAGATTTAAACTAGTTTTTGTTTTTAATTAATCGACGGGTGGTTTGTTCATCTGTATTCGTCAGTGACGACGACGAGTTAACAAGATTAGTCTAGAACGTTCGAATCTCGACACAAAGGAACATTGTTTTACGTTAATTCACGTCATCAACAGCCGTGACCCTTTGACGGGTTCACACTACGAGACACTACTTCCGATTTCATTACGGCATAGCGTCAAATTGTCATATTGCAATCTGTGTACAATGTGAAAATTTTCTGAATTTGACCACAGACTTCATACGATAACAAAAATTTTGAAAGAATATACACACACATATAGTTATCTTCCGTTTGCATTTTTCTCCCTCTTGATTTAAAGGCACTTGGCTGAATTTAGTCGACTGAATTCAGTGAAGTGTAATAGCATTAAGTAAGTTAGTCTACTGAATTCAGTAGCAAGGATGGTTTCTGACTGACTGAATCATTAATAAGCCTAATTAGAAACGCATTTAGGAAGGTGTAATCGCATTTAGGAAGGTGTAATCGCATTTAGGAAGGTGTAATCGCATTTAGGAAGGTGTAATCGCATTTAGTTACTTAATGGTTTCAGTCGTCCCATAGCTCTCCGTGCGTGAGGACGTTTTAGTTTGTTTTTTGCTTCCGAATAAAAAGTATTAATTTCGATCGCCTTTATTTAATGTGCCAGACATTTATAAATAGCCCGACATGTTTCAGGGATAGTTTTTGTCATTAGGGGTTGGGATATTGAAAAACTAAATTTTAAATCTTGATACGAATTTCCTGTTGCAAGAAATCTTAATGTTACAACCAATCTTTCTTTTGGACTTATACTATCGTAGGATTAGATATGTAATAGTTATATAATAGATATATAATAGACTATCGTAGGATAGTATCCTGCTTTTGAATAAACGGTGTCACACAGCTTAATATTAGGTCAAACGAGATCGAATCCATTTATAATTTCTAAAGTCTGCTGGTTCTAAATCACTCATAATGTTCATATTTGCTAACATTTCGGACAGCAATAAATATATCTTCACCGATATTCTTGTTTTTTTTTTTTTTTGAGAAATAGAAACAAAACTCAAAAACAAAAAAAAGACAAAAGTTTTGTTGTCTAGACAATACTGGGGCCATCTTTTTACGCACACGACTCGTCTTACTTCGTCACGCTTAAACTGACAATTGATTCAGTAACTGAACTTAGAGCAGTGTAATCAGAAGCTTCTAAATTTGCTTCTGAATTCAGTCGACTAAATTCAACCAAGTGTAATAAGCCTTTTAGTAAGTATGCTACTCTAACTGTTTATGGCGCTGTTTTTTAAATATCCGTGAAATGAGAATCGAAATTTGTTTAAATTTGGGGTAGGTATACGAAAAAGGGAAGATCTTCCGCCGTGCGGGCAGTAGATAGGAAAGAAACCTCTCCGCACTGCGCAATACACAAACTAATATTAAAACTGAAAATTCAGCGCACACGATATTTATCTCAATTACATGCTTTTTTACGGGTGTCTATTTTGCCAATTTCTCATTAACCGTGCACGTTTAGAGATCGTTGTAATTGAACATTATTTCTCGACGAGCCTCAGACTTTGTACTCACGATTAGCGTAGGTCAGACTAGGCTATATTTAGATAACGCGATTTGTTCCAAACACTGAAGGGACTTTCAGAATCGAATCGACTGAATACAAATTTGAGTTAACTTTTACGCTATCGAGAACGTTAAAGAACTCGCATTAAGAACACAGATTTGTAGTAATTGATTGATTGTGTTTGCTTAAGGGTCTAAATATATTTTTTATTAGGGCATGTTCAAATATCAGCAATAGAATTATTGTTTCAAATCAACACGTTACAATTGCTTACCAGTAGAGCTATGTGCGGCATATACACGATGTCGTCCTCTCTGTGGCCCTCGGACATCTCTTCCACCCAAGTCAGAGGATGCAGGGGAATCGCTGACAACGTACCGTTCGAGTTGAAGCTTTGAACTTTGTGTTCCAAAGCTTCTCTATTTTGAATTATATCATCAATTAGTATTTAGGTTCGAGATAGAATAATATCTTAATGCTATGTTTTTTTTTATTGCTGTTGTAGGTAGACGAGCATACGGTCCACCTGATGGTAAGTAGTTATCGTCGCTCATGGACGTCAGCAATGCCAGGGGCAGAGCCAAGCCACTGCCTACCATTAAGTACTTTGCGCAAGCCTCGTTTGAAGAAGGACATGTCATAGCGCTCGGGAAACACCGTGGAGGGGAGCTCATTCCATAGCCGAATGGTACGTGGCAGAAAAGAACTTCAGAACTGAATTGTCGATGGACGCAACGATTCCAGATAATATGGATGAACTCTGCTGCGATGGTGGGAGGTGCGATGGTAAAAAGGAGATGAGGGGATCATATGGATATTTGGGAAAAAAATCCTTGTTCATAAATGGTACATAGTTTTTACTAGTGGCAGGGCATCTTGTGAGCACGCACGGGTAGATACCACCATCCTGCCTAATTTTGCCACGAATCAGTAATGCATTTCGGTTTGAAGGGTGCACGTTGCACTGGGTGATAGAATTTACTTTGATGATGTCTATGGACTCCTATGACCACTTAACATCAGTTAGGCCATAAGCTCGTCCACATATCTAAGCAATAAAAAAAGCTTACCTGTACACGTAAGGCCCGACTTCCTGGAGCTTAATTTTCTCATCCTTCCCAGCCAGGTACTCTTCAGAATTAGTCACGTTGAACAGAAAGACTCTCGTATAAAGCTGGACTTCAGGTTTCCTCCACATCTCGAAGATTTCGCCCCCATCCTGCAGAAGGACTTTCTGTGGACAGAAACATAGTGTAAGGATATGTTTTTCTCAATATTACATCATTAGCTTTACCTAACCTAAACATCAGCCCGCTGAGTTTCCCGCCGGATTTTCTCAGCGGGTCGCGATTCTGATCCGGTAGTAGATTCATTCGCGAAGCAGCTGCCCTTGAGTTATTAGGTCTCCTTTGAAGGCACTTCGGCAGCTGTTAGCATATCCCACCCCTCCTAGCTGAGCCTTTGCTCTCTCACCTGTCCTGGTGAAATTGGAGAGATCTCCGGGCTACCAGTAATTCCTCTTTCATAAAAAAAACCATTGGCTTTTTTTAACTAGTTTTGATATGTCGAATACCCTATGACCTGGGATGTCGACTCTTATTTCTGACCAGAGAATGTACAAAAGCGTATTGTTTAAGAATGTTCTAGATGGAAAATTTAGTTCCCGTTCACCCAATAACGAGTGGTTAAATGAGGACACATAGATATCATAACAAACGCAATCCTTCTTTGAGATATGAAATCCAAAATCTCAATTTTATTGTAGATCAATGATCCTTTCGAGGCGTCACATCACGCGGCCAAAATTGGCAGAATGGTAGCCACAAATGACCACATAATACCATTAGTAAATTATTTTTTCTGCCTATGCTGATAACCTTGAGAGGCTACTTCAACTTTACCCTAACGTGTAAGTGAGCTCACGGGGCTCAAACCGGAGTGCTGCTAGCACTAGCCCTACCGAAAGCAGTGCTTCGCAGAATCTACCACCGGGTCCGAAACGCGACCCACTAAGAAGATCCGGCGAGAAACTCAGTGGGCTATCATTAATTACGCAAATTTATAAAATTTAGTTGTGGTCATACATCCCGTCTATTTATGCTGGGAAATCTTCGAAGCTTGGGTCATACGTGTTCACGTCTATGAGCCATGGTAACTATGTACCAATTAAGAGATCATCGAAGCTTTTCTCGTACAAAGCATACCCCTCTTATTTGCCCGGGAGCCGAAGCCTTTTACCGGTGGTAGGACGTCTTGTGTGTCCGCACGGGTAGATACCACCGCCCTGCCTATTTCTGCGTTGAAGCAGTAATGCGTTTCGGCTTGAAGGGCGGGGCAGCCGTTGTAACTATACTGAGACCATAGAACTCATATTTCAAGGTGGGTGGCGGCATTTACGTTGTAGATGTCTATAGGCTCCGCTAACCACTTAACACCAGGTGGGCTGCGAGCTCGTCAACTCATCTTTGCAATAAATAAAAAGCTCCTACGAGGTTCCCGCGTTAAAGAGTTATATTGATGGCCGAAAATGTCCTAAATAAAAAATAGAATTATATCGACGGGAAAGGCTATTAGGTTTAAGCGACATTTTTGCAACTTTACGGGAGAGCCATTTAAAGTTTATCGTAAAAAAATATCGTAAGAAAAAAAAAATGTGGCAGGTAGCCATCATACAACGCAGGATGGTTGACGGATGCCTGAATCTCGCTTACGATATTTTCAAGATAAGCTTGCATATGTACAAGTTCCGAACAACATTCCGATCCGGTAGTAGATTCATTCGCGAAGCAGCTACTCTTGAGCTGTTAGGTCTCCTTCGGAGGCGCTCGGGTAGCTGTTAGCAAATCCCACCTCTCCTGGCTGAGCCTTTGCTCGCCCACGTGTCCTGGTGAAACTGGAAAGGCCTCCGGGCCACCAGTAATCTTTCAATCATAAAAAAAAAAAAACATTCGGACCGTCGGTCTACCCAGCAAATATCACCCGCTCGGTGGAAGATCTTCTCTTTCGTCGTTAAGCCGGCAAACTACTCTCAGCCTCTCCACAAACTTCTCCAGCTATTCGAATGTGAAAAACGTAATAATTGAAGTTCAATTAAAAAACATCGAATTGTCGATGGTAATAGCAAATGAAACGGACCTTTAATTACAAAGTTAACTGTTGCGTATTAAGCGAAATGTTTGCTTAAACCAAATAGTCTTTCGTCCGTCGATTTAAGATCCAAATTACCTGATTAAACAGAAAGTTGTAGGGCTTAACGAACAGTATAAAGCATCCTATTGAGAGTGCTATAAATCCCAGCATAAGAAGGATGAACAGACCTGAAACAAACACAAATACACACATTAATTTCAAATGTAAATATATATCTTACTGGTGGTAGGACGTCTTGTGAGTCCGCACGGGTAGGTATAACTACCCTGCTTATTTTTGTCGCGAAGCAGTAATGCGTTTCGGTTTGAAGGTAGGGGCAGCCGTTGTAACTGTACTTGAGATCTTATAACTTATACCTCAAGTTTGGTGGCGTATTTAAGTTGTAAATGTCTATGGCTCCAGTAACCTCTCAACACCAGGTGGGCTGTGAGCTCGTCCACCCATCTAATCAATAAATAAATAAAAACTTCACGAGATGTAAGCGTCGATTTTTTTTTGTAATCGCTCACCACTCCACTAATCTTAAGCTATCAATCATAACAATAATGTAAAACGTAATTAAATATCATCAATCATGATCGCGGATTTCTCGCGTACTAAGACTAATTCAAGTTATTAACACGTTGACTGCTACGTAGGTCACCAGTGCCCTACGTGGCGCACTGAAGAAATTATCTCGATTGTTGTTACTAAGCGTCTAGATTGCCTAAAGGACATGGGCCATTTTCGGTCCATCTACTCGTGCTCTCAAGGACATCAATTATCTATAGAAAAAAATATTTCATTTTTACATACTTATTATAAAATTTAAGGGTACTTTAATGGTGGGATATTTAAAATCATAAATAAAAAGAAATTAGCATGATTATGCTACATTGATAATATTGAAGGAGTTGCCATAGGTAAAATATTTATAAGCAATTCACATTAAATCTTCTTAAAAAAACATTACGTATATTGCAAAAAACTAGCAAAATATATTAACATAATTAATTAATGGATTTTAAAATTAATGTAAAATACTATATCTTGATCTTAAGCAAAAAAAAACTACTCTTGTTTAATGTTTATTCACGTTTTACATTTTATCACTCGTTCAAAGAGTATGTAACACTACCTCGTGCGCATTGTGGATACCTATTAGTGTTTCGTTGCGATATACCTGCTTATTATATTTTGTTGTAATATAAAGTATAGTAATATAAATATATTTAAGCTGATGATGATGTTAAACTGTCAGTGTATTGACAGCAAAATCATATGATATAACCTAAAATTCTTATCTTATTTTTTAAATATCTTTGTATCTCCATAAACAATATTAATTTTAATTTGTTTATAATAAAAAATATATATATAGTCTGTTAATTAAACTTAATTTCATTACTGTCCTTGAACTTCGTTTAGTGGGCCGTGCAATGTATGGAGAGTGGCCCATGTCCTTTGCTTTTTTATGTTAACTAGTGCTCGCCCTGCGATCGAAATTCGATCTTACTTATCAATTTAAATTATAAGTTTGGCCATTATTATGGTTCTATCGTCAAAGACTTTATTAATTCTATGATCACAGATTTCGCCAAGTCTACACTATAGACAAATAATATTAAAGATAAACAATATTAATCTATTTTCAATTTGACCACAGACTTACACAATAAACAAAAAAGTAGTAAGCGTATGTGTGTCAAATACATGGTAGTGTGCATAATGTTTTTTTTAATTGATTTTATGTACTTTTTATGCATAATTTAAACAATAGTATTCTACACTCCTTCACTAGAAATGTTATACTCCTCCGTCGGCGTAATTTTCGTAAAAAGGGCTACAAATTTTTTGCTTCGCGTATTAATATATAAAACTAGCTGTACCCGCCCGCTTCGCTGGGCATTTAAAATTAACATTATTATTTCTCACCCCCACAAAGATTCTCATCATGAACGCCCCTGCAACTGGTGTAGGGAGTCCAACACTCATATAAATATTAGCCTATCCATTAAGTACATGTATTTTCTACACGGATACCAAGTTTCAAGTCAATCGGATGCATGGTTCAGTAGTTATAACGGAACATCCGTAAAAACCACTGTAGATTTATATATTAGTATAGATGTATGTTTTAATGTTTTAGGTCTCATAAGAATAGATTCATTCTCAGCATTTCGGATTCGTCTATCCCAGAGTCTGCTAGATATTCCGGTGCTTTAGTAAGAAGATCGAAAAGAAAAATCGACATAATTACTTCAGTGCACCGCGTAGGGCCTCGGTGACCCAACACGGCAGTCAACATGTCAATATATTTGCAAATGATTAATCGACTTATCTACCCACCCTGCTACGACAAACATTGAAGGCTAACAACCAAACGATCTTGACTTTAGATCATCAATGATACAGCTATTAATTAATAAATCGTAATAAATATGTTTATTGCGAAAGTGTCTGTGTCAGATATTCACGGCGAAACGATTGAATTGATAATGCTTATGGTAATTTGAAATGGAATTCCAGTCCTGATCGGACCACTTCAGTCCACGGTGCACTCCGCAAATGCGAGGAGTCAGGGCTGGTGCAGGATAGTCCAGGAGAAAGTTATTAATGGAAGCCACGACCTTCAGGATTGAGGATCGACGTAAGGAGAACGAGGCCTCACAGAAAGAGCTTTGTATATAGCCATAGAAATGTGGACATATTCGCTTCTCATGCCGAGCAAAGAACATCGGTTTCAATTGCCGCATCAAGCCTCTTTCAGACTACGCTATAATATTATAGCATATAGTATTGTTACAGCGCCCTTAGCGGCAAACGCAGGCAAACGTTCCGACTCCCTACAAATTGTAGTTAACTTTTACGCTATCGAGAACGTTAAAAGCTCGCACTAAGCACAGAGATAATCGCGCATGGGGTTCTTTAATTCTCATAACGCAGTCTCTCTCTCCCTCTTCCCAGCTATTTATCCCACATGGTGGTGGGGTCAGCTTTCCTTATTTTATCCTTCGACTTCGCTATGTCTTCGACCTCATCAGCAACGTTGCATTCCCTTTTGTCCTTCAGCACTACATCCTTCCACCTTGTCTTGGGTCTACGTCTAGGTCTCCGACCGGGGAGGTTGAGCAGTAGTGCCAAATTTCCGACGCAGTCAGATGGCTTTTTACGTGACCATACCATCTCAGTTTAGTCTTCTGCATCTTGTCGGTGATGTCCCGTACACCGAGGGTTCCACGCACGTCCTCGTTCCGGATTTTATCGAGCCTGGTCACACTGCAAATCTACCTCGGCATCAGCGGTAGCATGATTAGTATGCACGTTCATTGTCGCCAATGTTTCGCTGCCATACATAAGAACAAGTCGCAAAACAAGGTCTTTTTTATTTATTTATTGCTTAGATGTGTGGACAAGCTCACAGCCCACCTGGTGTTCAGTGGTTACTGGAACCCATAGACACTTACAACGTAAATGCGCCACCCACCTTGAGATGTAAGTTCTAAGGTCTCAGTATAGTTACAACGGCTGCCCCGCCCTTCAAGCCGAAACGCATTATTGCTTCACGGCAGAAATAGGCGGGGTGGTGGTACCTACCCGTGCGGACTCACAAGAGTTCCTATCACCAGTAATTAGTCTACGTGTTAATCTAAAACTAGAGTTCCCGCAGTAGTCGAAATTCGACTATAATTAATTGGAATTGTAAGTTTGTACACTATTATGATTGTATTTTATACTTCTATAATCACAAATTTCGCCAAGACTACACTATAAAAAATATTAACAAACAATATTTAATCTCAATTTGACAACAGACGTCAAGAACAAAAGTTTGACAATAAATAGTATGCATGCGTGTTGCGTCAAATACATGGTATGTAGTGTGTGTAATGTTTTATTTATTGATTTAATGTATCCTTTATGCATTATTTAAAAAAAATATTAGCATTGTGCACTTCTTCTCTATATTCTCTATAAGTGTGGAAAATTTCACACTCCTCCGTCCGCGCAATTTTCGTAAAAAGGGATACAAAGTTTTTGCTTCACGTATTAATATAAAGATATGTAATCAAATCTATATTATGTTAGTTCAGAGAAGGTTACTGTCTCGATAGAGATCACGGTCACGCGGTTACGTGATTATTACGCGAAGCATCGAGGCCCGTGTATTAAAATCGCGTATGCAATCATTATAGATGAAGGTTGAATAAATAAATAAACAATATCTCGTTCGATTTTTGACATGCTTTTTTCTATTTAATCAGCTCGGTGTGTGGGTTTGTGGATTTAGTCAGGCTGACGCGGTGGTGGAGTAATTAGCGGTACTGTTGTACCCATGAGTTTACCTACCGGTCCCTGGGTAATTGGAATTAAATAGTTTATGTATTAAATTCGTTTCCCCATTTGACAATAAAATAGAATAAAACTCTTTTATTTCGAAACATCATAGTCTCATAGTGTGTTGGTATTACAAATAGCTTGAGAAATATGTTAGTATTTAAGTTTTTTTTTTATTGCTTAGATGGGTGGACGAGCTCACAGCCAACCTGGTGTTAAGTTCTACATGTAATTTGATGAACCTATCCAGGGTCGTTTCATCCAGTCTTTCTGCTAATACCCCAACACAATGCTTCTTAGACCTCGCTACAGGCCCGCAGACTTTGTAGGAACGTATCTACCGTATCTACAGTCGGCATCGCTGCGCCACTTTGAGAAGGCGGCATGACATGAGAACCCTTTTGTCGAGGGTTCAACGAGCGAATTAACCCATAGACACAGCCCACTGAGTTTCTCGCCGGATTTTCTCCGTGGGTCGCGTTTCCAATCCGGTGGTAGATTCTGCGAAGCACTGCTCTTGCTACGGTCAGTGTTAGCAACTCTCCGGTTTGAGCCCCGTGAGCTCACCTATACGTTAGGGTGAAGCTGAAATAGCCTCTCAAGGTTATCAGCATAGGTAGGGAAAAAACCGTATTAAAGGAGGATTATTTATCTGCACTTATAAATTGCCCCTACCATAGTTTCAGATTTAGAAAAAGAAAAAAATACATCTCACCTGTCGCATATTGAGATCCGAGTTGGGCATTTTTTAAACTATTACAACGTAAATTCTCCACTTTTGTTTTCTAATACTAACTTCTTCGTAAGATATACTTTCTGCCTGACCTTTTTAGTGACTTATTCATTCGTA